ACCAACCAGGAAAGAAATAAAGGACTTTTAGAAAGTCTAGAGATGACCTGGGCCATTACATGGAACCAACCTGTATTTAGAATCAAGTTCTATCCAGGCGATACCCTGACTCCAGAGGTCCGTTCTCGAAACGCCTTGGATGAAATAAACCGAAATGCTTTTTACGGTTTAGTAAAGCTCCCCAGACGCTGCGAACTATCCGAAATTGGGAAAGAAAAAAAAATACTCTTGTACCCAAGCAAGCAAGGGCCGCGCAGCGGTGAGATCACTCGCCTCCCACCAATGTGGGGCGGGTTGGAATTCCTGGCGTCGATGCCATATGTGGGTTGAGTTTGCTGTTGGTTATTTCCCTTGCTCCGAGAGGTTTTTCTCCGGCTATTCCGGTTTTCCTCTCTCCTTAAAAACTAACAATTCTAAATTTCAATTCGATCTGGTAACACACGGTCACGTTTTAACGAGTTCTCATGAAACTCCTAAGTGCTCCGTGGGGAAACAAATTACAATTACAAAATTTATTGAGACGACACGGGCTTTCGGAACTAACGTAAACACACGTTGATGACGTTTTCGTTTTCAATCTGAATTTATTCCTTACAGAAAGATTTGCCAATATTTGACAAATTTACCAACGTTACGTTTTCCAGACCGTCGTTTCTAATCAAAACCAATACTTGCGCCCCTTTTTCAAGCCAGCAAAATTGGATTCAAGACAGTTAAAACCGCTTTTAACTATACAGCCTCAAACACAACAGTATTTACAACATATCGGTAAGAGTTTCGCACAGGAAGCCTCAACATTTATCATGCATGCAGTCTCAAACTATACGCCACTTGCACACTCCCATTATGCACCTTATCTGCCCCCACAAAATTTTCCACAACCTTTGTTTTTGATTTCTCCTGGGTATAACAGCCGTCCCAAGGGAAATTGAAAATAATGCTTATGCAAAATTTTGGGAGGGAAATACAGTGCATTATGGAAGATGTGAAAGTGGCGCACAGTAATTTTCTAGGACTTATAACAACTCCTCTAGTGGGGCTAATTAAACTCCTTACAGTGGAGTTATTTTTTGGGAAGTTATTTTAACTCCAAAAAGGAGTTTTAAGAATTCTTTTTCAGGAATAAAAGTGACCCCAGATATTGAGGAGTTAAAATAACTCCAAAAAAGGAGTTATCCTGTACCTAAAATTTTTACTCGACTTTCAGAGTTTAATGAACTCCAAAAAGAGTAAAAACAACCCATTTAAGGCGTAAAAATAACCCCATTTCGGAGTTATTTTAACTCCAGACTGGGAGTAAAAACAACTCTTTTTCAGGAGTAAAAATGACCCCAAATTCGGAGTTAAATTAGGAGTTAAAGTAACCCCCNGGCCATTACATGGAACCAACCTGTATTTAGAATCAAGTTCTATCCAGGCGATACCCTGACTCCAGAGGTCCGTTCTCGAAACGCCTTGGATGAAATAAACCGAAATGCTTTTTACGGTTTAGTAAAGCTCCCCAGACGCTGCGAACTATCCGAAATTGGGAAAGAAAAAAAAATACTCTTGTACCCAAGCAAGCAAGGGCCGCGCAGCGGTGAGATCACTCGCCTCCCACCAATGTGGGGCGGGTTGGAATTCCTGGCGTCGATGCCATATGTGGGTTGAGTTTGCTGTTGGTTATTTCCCTTGCTCCGAGAGGTTTTTCTCCGGCTATTCCGGTTTTCCTCTCTCCTTAAAAACTAACAATTCTAAATTTCAATTCGATCTGGTAACACACGGTCACGTTTTAACGAGTTCTCATGAAACTCCTAAGTGCTCCGTGGGGAAACAAATTACAATTACAAAATTTATTGAGACGACACGGGCTTTCGGAACTAACGTAAACACACGTTGATGACGTTTTCGTTTTCAATCTGAATTTATTCCTTACAGAAAGATTTGCCAATATTTGACAAATTTACCAACGTTACGTTTTCCAGACCGTCGTTTCTAATCAAAACCAATACTTGCGCCCCTTTTTCAAGCCAGCAAAATTGGATTCAAGACAGTTAAAACCGCTTTTAACTATACAGCCTCAAACACAACAGTATTTACAACATATCGGTAAGAGTTTCGCACAGGAAGCCTCAACATTTATCATGCATGCAGTCTCAAACTATACGCCACTTGCACACTCCCATTATGCACCTTATCTGCCCCCACAAAATTTTCCACAACCTTTGTTTTTGATTTCTCCTGGGTATAACAGCCGTCCCAAGGGAAATTGAAAATAATGCTTATGCAAAATTTTGGGAGGGAAATACAGTGCATTATGGAAGATGTGAAAGTGGCGCACAGTAATTTTCTAGGACTTATAACAACTCCTCTAGTGGGGCTAATTAAACTCCTTACAGTGGAGTTATTTTTTGGGAAGTTATTTTAACTCCAAAAAGGAGTTTTAAGAATTCTTTTTCAGGAATAAAAGTGACCCCAGATATTGAGGAGTTAAAATAACTCCAAAAAAGGAGTTATCCTGTACCTAAAATTTTTACTCGACTTTCAGAGTTTAATGAACTCCAAAAAGAGTAAAAACAACCCATTTAAGGCGTAAAAATAACCCCATTTCGGAGTTATTTTAACTCCAGACTGGGAGTAAAAACAACTCTTTTTCAGGAGTAAAAATGACCCCAAATTCGGAGTTAAATTAGGAGTTAAAGTAACCCCCAAAAAAGGGGTTATCCTGTACCTAAAATTTTTACTCCATTTTTGGAGTTATAATAACTCACTAAAAATCACGGTGCGTATTCTCTATTTTCGAATCCCCATAATACACTCTGTTTGCCCTCCACCCCCTCCCCGAACGAAGTTTTGTATAAAATTTGAAAACAATATACTAATGTGTTTCCGTTTGAAACGAATCAATTTGAAAACGCACTGAAAGTGATCAAAACGAAAACGCATACATATTGTAATAGTGTGGAGGATAGAAAACGCATCAAAATGAAAACGATGACCGAAAATATCACAGGCGCGTGTGATTTTAGCATGCGCATTGAGTTCAACTTACGTCACAACGTGCAATTCTATCGTTTTCTGACGTTCGAGTGAGGACAGTCGAAAACGCATGAAAACGGTAGAGTAGACGAGAATCGATCGATACGTTTTCGAGGACAACGCATTAGCGTGGAAAGGGCCTTGGAGGTGAACAGAGTGTATTTGGAGGGATTCGAAAATGGTCATTTTCAGATAAATAAGCTACTAAAGAACGGACTAGAAACTTGCACGTATAATAAATGCGTCAGGGAAGAATTTTTACTTCTTCCCTTCCCATGGGACCGCGCGCGCGCCTCAACTAAATTCCCAATCTTCTCTCACCCCAAAAAACACTTAAATAGCGACTGGGTAAGAGTCTGTAAATGCGTGGAGCAGTGTGGAAACGTTACCTACAATATCAATTGACGTTTGAACATCAAAATAATTACAGTTTCAAAGATAATACATCACCACTTCACTACATTAAATTTACACAGTTTTAAATAAATTTAAATAAGTTAACAGAGACCACAGTGCTGCTCGACCTTGCTACTCTTAAATCTAGACTGATATACACTAGGTCTATGGCTCCCCTTAAAATCATAGATCTAGTGCATATCTAAGGCTAGTATCTAGTGCATATCTAATGCATGTCTACATATGTCTACTGAGCAGTATTTTCCTGTGGTAATGTTCATAATGCTGTGCAAAGTAGTTCTAACTTTTAGCTTTGCTGCATCACTCAGGTGGATGGCGATGAGTAGAGCTCTCCTGAAGTGCTCGTTATTGTTAACTCTTCAATTCTCTCATGCACTCTATCATTATTTTTACTTCGGAATCGTTATTCATCTCTGGACTCCTCCCCGCTGTCTGTGATGCCTCCTTCCTTCTCATTCATTTCCGCTTTCTGTTGTTGCAGCCACATGTTAGCGTACACCCCACCGTCTGACACCAGCTCATCGTGTCTGCCGTTAAAAAGATAAACATCATGAAGCCGCGCCTTTTCTATTCTAGGACTGTGGACGAGTCATCCAGTTACTCAAAAGTCAACAAGTCAGTCATTTACCAGGTTCCAAGTGCAAGCGAAATCAACTTACCTTCCGCGTTCAATTATTTCGCCATCGTGGACGACCAGAATCTGATCCGCGTTTATAATTGTGGATAACCTACAATTGTTACAGAAAGAGGATTGTAAATGACTCTCCGGCAATTGGCTCCTTGGAGTTCACACATCACCCTTTGCGATTGAAAATCTCGCACAACATTGTCAAGCAGTCAGAGTTTAATAAATTAAAAACCTATAGCTTGCTCGCACGTGTTTGCCAGTGCTTTTTATGCACGTGTACACACTTCCCGCACCAGGGCAGATAACCTTTATTCGACCTGTCCCATACTTTTTACTAGCAAACGGGGCATTACGTTAAATATAGGATTTGTAGGAGTGGTGTCATCGCACTGAGGACTTGTAATCAATAATCAAACGTGAACGAAGTAAAACTTCACTGCTTCTCTATTTACCTGTGAGCGACGACAATAGTAGTTCTGTTGATACACATGTTGTTTAGTGAAGCTTGAATATTACGCTCGGTTTGTGTGTCCAGGGCAGAAGTGGCCTGAAGTGATAAAACAACAATAAGTCACTTAATAAACGCATGGAAAAAACAGAGTTATGATACGCGGAAAAAAAATCTGTCCTTCAATGTCTAACCCAGTGTCGATGTTAAATACGGGGGTACGTAGTTCACCCTTTTTTCTGAAATTTCTGAAGACTAAAGGTGTTTACGAAAAATCAGAACCTGCTGGCTCAACGGGTCACTTTGAACAACTCAGTGAGCTTTTTTTTAAAGAGTTTTTGTCAAAACCAATCAATGCCGTGCATACTATTTAGCAATAGACGGATCTGACTGAACGGTCTCTTAACGACTCAAACTGGTCTGGCCCGCCAGTTCTGCCTAATGGTAAACGCCCTATGCAAAGACTTTCAATTAATCCAAGACTTAACGATAACTACGGAAGAATTTTGGGCACGTCTAAGGACGACAATCGAAAGACGATTTCACTGATATCTTCACGCATCAATTAATAACAGGTATTGTCACCTGGCCCTTCAATGAAACACAATTCCTTAGATTAGTGGTATAAATGGAACCGAAAATGTCCATTTCAGTTTACAGAAAGTTCACTTGGATTCCAAGACGAGGACGGTTTAAGGCCGATTTGGACGGTACGATTTTTGCTTACGACTATCGTGTGCGACTAGCGTACGCATGACTTCACGTCAGATCTTGTCGTCTAAATTAGACCCACGACATCCGTACGACATGTGTAGATGGTCGAAAGTCATGACGTACGCTAGTCGCGCACGATAGTCGCAAGCAAAAATCGTACCGTCTAAATCGGCCTTAAGACTACGTTCACACGGCAACGCACGGTTGAAAATCCGAACGTTTAGGTCAGTGTTGCGTTCACACGGAACCACCTTGACCGTACGAAAATTTAGACGCCCAGCCGTCAGAGCCGTTAAATTGTTCGTGAGAACAGAGCGAAAATGTTGAACAGTTCCGTGTGAATGAGGATTCCGTTCACATTTTTCAGCCGGTCGAAAATTTGTCCGGGGCCTTGTCAAGGTAGCCAAGAGGCTGAGAATTTATTAATAGTGAGTTAACGCAACAGGACGGCAGGACGAAGAGGACCGCAAATCGCTTGTGCGTGACGAACGTGACAAGGTTATTACTTGCGTATTTTGTCGTTATATTCACTAACATCAATGTTTTCTGGTCTTTAAAAAAAAGGATCTGTTTTAAAAAGAAAGTGAAGTTTGGCTAAAAGTTATTTCAACCAAATTTACTGTCATGCTTGTCACTCTAGGTTTTGCCTTCTTTTTCCTCTCCCCTCCTGTTGCGTAAGTTCACTAATACTACTAAAAAAAACCGTGCCAACGCTTCTGGTGACAAAAAAGAGTAAAATTAAGCTTTCCGAGGTGTCTACTTTCTTAGAATACGCAAAAAATTTAAGTGAAATCTCGTCGTCTTAGTCATCCATTACCTCATCTAAGAGAACAAGCGGCGGATTCTTCAACAAAGTTCTCGCTATTGCCACGCGCTGCTTCTCGCCTCCGCTCAGCTTCAACCCACGTTCACCAACGATCGTTTCATATCCTGGAACAGGAGAGATGAAATAAGAAATATTCACACACGGATAACCGTATTTCCTCAAATACGCAACCTTATCCAAATTAGCGCCCCATTCCTTCCCGTCACGCTCACAATTTAGAGACCTTTAGATTCAAGGACGAGAACGACTACGAGTACGAGATTTGATTTTATGTTTTTTTTGCGTGTTCTCAAAAAATAGGCACTCCGGTAAGCTTTATAGTAGTTTTGTCCACCAAAAAGTTAGCACTGTTATCATTTTTGAAGAAGGTTAAGCCCTCTCGGATCGCAAAGCGACAAAACTTCTAACATTCAATAACTTGTTCTCACCACTACGACATTCTCGCAAAAACTCGTAGTAGAATGACCACAGCTATCACGTTTTCCCGCCAAAATGACGCTGGTTCACGTGTGCACACTACTTAGTATTGAGAAAATCTCGTACTCGTAGTCGTTCTCATCTTAGAATCTAAAGGTCTCAATTCACATTATTTAACGGGAAGACCTTAGATAGCAATGACTTCAAGCAGGTTGGCGTCCAGCAGTTTTAGTGAAAACAAGGGTTTAGGTAGGGTGTTCAGTCTTGCGGGCTCATAAAACCTTGTCTGGGTCATTGCCATTAAAGAATTTTCTATTTAATGGGACTAAATGCTGTTTGGGCAAGTTTAACCTTAAGACAAGACAAGGCAACGCAGACAGGTTCTGTGCGGGGTTGCCGTTGAGACTTCAGGGCTGTTATCTTAAGCAATGCTTGCTTTGTATGGCTGATCGTTGCAGACTATTTTGCATTCAAGCATCTCAGCAGCTGACGGATTTCCATCACGCCATGGGTGCTTTCGAATAAATCCTTTAAAAAGGTATTTGCCAAATATCGGTGTCGGTGTACTTAGAAGAGCCTAAAATTCAGACAATGTTGGTGACAATAGGACCCTCCCGACAACCCAGGCGCCCAACTTCCCAACCATACGGCGCCTCTCTCCTCCGCAGAGGCTCCCGCTGGGTAACCTAATAAAAAAGCAAAAAAAAAAAAAAGAAATCGCGCAGGGATCTCTTTCCCCTTTCAATAATTCGCCACGACATTTCTTGTTTCTTTTTTCCTTCCTACTACACAAAAGGGAGCTTAGGCTACGACGACGGCGACGTCAACGAGCAATAGGTTTATCAATCAATCAATCAATCTTTATTTAAACACGGTAAAATCCATCAGGAATTTAAAAATTAAAGATAACCTAACTATCCTAAACAAAATTCAAAACCTAACTACAACTAATCTAACTAAAACCTGTTTTTCATGAATGCCGTGTATAACATTAAAAATGAACATTAACTAATCTTTTAAATTGACTAAGAGATTCGGCTTCTCTCACATGACAGGGTAGGCTGTTCCAGAGAACTGCTCCGCTATAAGTAAAGCTGTTTTTCATGAAATTAGTTCGCGGAAATGGGACAAATAGTTTGTTAACAGAGTCCCTCAGGGAGTAACGCGTTTCATTTCGTTTAACAAACTTAGATGATAAATATTCAGGAACAAGGCCATTTAAAGACTTGTATACCATTATGGATTTCTGTATTTGAAATTGAGTGTTCAAGTCTTTCCAATCGAGTTGTCTAATCAAACGGTTAGCATCAGCATCATAGCTAGAGAAGGTTAAAACGCGAGCGGCACGGTTCTGAAGCTTCTGTAGCCTGTCAAATAATGTTTTACCACAATTACCCCAGACAAGATTGCAATAATCGAATTGAGATTGAATTAGTGAGTTGTATATATAGTGAAGGGTAGGTGGAGGGACAAAAGGTCTAATTCTTTTTATTGCTCCAATTCCGGAAGCGACCTTTTTAGATAATTTATCAATGTGTGTTTGCCACCGTAGATTTTCATCAATAAATATTCCAAGCGATTTGACAGAGGAAACGTGTTCTATCGGAACATTATTAATCGAGAGCTCAAGTGGGTTCGACAAAGTACTCAATTTTTGTCTGGAGCCAATTAGCATGAATTCAGTTTTAGAAGTGTTCAAAGTAAGTTTATTAGAAATAAGCCATTTGTTTAGGTTATCTAAATCGTGACTCAGAGTTAACTGTATTGAATTCACATCAACGCCAGCATAAGTAATGTGGGTGTCATCGGCATACATTCTAGGCTGGCACGAAGTAAGGCAGTTTGGCAAGTCATTAATATAAATAAGAAATAAAAGGGGGCCAAGGATTGTTCCTTGCGGTACCCCACATTTAAGAGAGCAGATTCTAGAAAGAGAACCGTTAACAAGACATCGTTGTGTACGATTAGTTAAATACGACCTAAACCAATCAAGAGCTGTACCTTGTATTCCGTAAAGGTTCATTTTAGCTAGAAGGATATCGTGGTCAACGGTGTCGAAAGCCTTTTTTAAATCGAGGAAAACCACAGCATTAACATTGCCACGATCAATATTAAAGGCCCAATTATCCGTAGCTTCCAGAAGGGCAGTTGCAGTTGAGTGTAACGAGCGAAAACCCGATTGATAATTAGAAATGATATCTTCATTGGTCAAAAAGTTATACAACTGATCATAAACAATCCTTTCAAACACTTTAGCTATAACGGAAATGACTGAAATAGGTCGATAATTATTCAGATCAGATGGCTCACCTTCCTTGAACAACGGAGTAACTCTAGCACATTTCCAATCATCAGGAAATATACCAGAGACTAAAGATTTATTAAAGAGATCACATAGTGAAACTGAAATAAGATCAGCACATTCACGTACAATTTTAGCAGAAATATTATCAAGACCAGTTGCTTTAGATCTACATAATTTGTTTAGATGTGAGAAAACAATGCTGCAGTTAGTCGAGGAGAAGCTGAAATTGTTGTTATTTACCTTTATATTATTGATATAACTTGAATTATTTTCAGCAGTTAGAGGTATTTCATTAGCAAGTCTGGGCCCAATTGTTGAAAAATGGTCATTAAAAGCATCAGAAAGCTCACTAGAATTAGAGATAATGGTATCATTCAATTTCAGTTCCTTCACCGTTGTATTATTCACACGACGGGATGTAAGCTCATTAAAGGTTTGCCACGTTTTTCGAGGATTACCCTTAGATTGAATAAATGCATTAGAATAATAAGATGCTTTAGAAATTTTGATGTCATTGTTTATTATATTTCGCAACTTTTTGTACCTTTTCCAATCGTGTGGATCATTCGATGTAATTGCTTTTCTTTTGGCAGCATCACGATCACGCATGCCTTTCTTTAATTCTGAATTGATCCAGGGTGCTTTATTTGTTCTAGTACGTCTAGTTCGGAGTGGCGCATGAATATTAACAATATCCAAAAACTTCGTTTTCCAGTTAGTCCACAAAACATTTGGATCTTCAGAAACATTACAGGACCAGTCTTGCTGGGCGATATCGTTCCGAAAACTCTCTCTATTAAAATTTTGGAAATTTCTATAAGAAATGGTTGAGTGCCCTTTTGAAGGAAAAGTGAGAGATAATTTCCTATAAACGTAAATAAGGCTATGATCGCTGATACCAATATGAGAGACTCCGGAACAGACTACCCTGTCAGTATAGTTTGTATAAATTAAATCAATTAATGTTGAAGAGGATTCCGTTATGCGAGTAGGTTCAGTTATAAGCTGTTGAAGCCCAAATAAATCAGAAATTTCACATAAGCGTCGAGTATTTAAATCATATTGTGCAGAGGCCAGGTTACAGTTTAAATCACCTAGCAGATAATATTCTAGGCCGAGGGAATCTAATTTCTCAAGAAATGATTCGTAAGGTAAAAATAAATCAATTGAGGAGCAAGGAGGTCTGTACCAAGTGGCAGTTTATATTAGCAAAACAACAACTTTGCACGTGCATCACGCTTTTTTGTACATTTCTTTGCCGTCGTTGCACGGCTACAACGTGAAAGTGCCTAATTTCACGATTTGTCGAGGACGGGAACACAAGGCAACAACTTTCTTTTTCTTTTCTTGCACTCTGATACAGTCCTTTAGAATTCAACTCCAGAAAAATTTGGCAACATTTGACGAATTAAACGAGATGGAATAAGCGCAGTAAAGTTTGAGGCTGCGCGAATTCACTTTTTAAGTGACGTTTTCCTCCGCAGAGGAGAGAGAGATACGACAAGGTTATTTTAAAATTTGAAAAATACAGCAAAGGCAGAAAAACATTAAACACTTTATGACTGCTCCCGAGGGAAACAGTTAATTTTGTTTCCCGAGAATCTCAATGTTTCCAGAGGTCTTAAGAAGACTTGTTATATAGCTGGAAATTCATTAAACCTCGCTGTAAATGCGGTCGTCGGTCAACATTCGCGGGTAACAGTGCGCTGTTACCCTCTGACGTCATAGATTTTGCAATGTTGCCCACTCAGAGATTTTGGCGGGAAACAGTTTCATTGTTAGATGTCATGTGACCTCGAAGTAACCAACGAGAGCGCGCTGTGGGAAAACATTTCTGGCTATATAACATGTGTTCTTACCGTTTGGGAAGGTCAGAATTCTAGAATGCATGTCTGCAGCTGACGCAGCTTCCTCCACGTCACTATCTGCAGCACCTATCCTGCCATACCGGATATTATACCTAACATGAATAACCACAGCTACCATTAATATTACGGAGTGGAAATATCAGCCGGATAACATCACAAGCAGGGTTATACGCTTCTGATAATATACATGCAGTCAAAGTTAGTAGAGGAAACTGGTTATGAAAGGCAGAATGAATCAAATATAAAAACAGCTGTGCTGCAATTTATGTTGGAATCTCCATGACGGTGATAAAATACATTGGCGTTCCTTTAAAGGGGCCGTGGTTAGTATGCAAAACAGTCCGTATTCTTGCGTAGGTCAAGAACACACTAGCGGTCGAGCGAAAGGTCTCGAGCGAGGGAGAAAAGGAAGAATAAGACTGGCGGGAGACGCGTAGAGCGCGTGAGGCTCGCTCGCTCCGCGACTTTAAAAAATTACCTTATATCGTTGTTAAACAGAACCGTGTCCTGGGGAACCACGCCTATGGTCTTCCGCAGAGACTTCTGGGTAACCTAGTCCAACGCAAATAATCGTTAAGGTGACTCGACCCAGTTTTTTGGGGGGGCGTACCATCCTACTTTGAAGCTCTCTGGTATCCCCACCTTTACTTTTATCGTAAGTCTAACACATAGAATGGATAACATATAGATCAATCTACAATATAACATAAAATTTTTGGCGATCGGAGTAAATGTCACGTGGTTATAATGCCACGCCCCTTTGAGGTCTGAGTCGAAAATCTGCTGTTGCCGGCATTTTTTCGTGAAAATCTCTCGGCTACACATAGTGCGCATTAGTGCCTTGCGCTGAACAGAGTTTCACCAAAATCGCAAAGACCCAATTCGAGAAATTCAGCGGTTTCCAAATTTAGGTCATAATTTATGCGAAAATGATAAGCAAACTTTACACGGATTATATCTAATAAACTATGAGATTCATCTCTTTATTTTGGGCATCGTTATAACAGATGGGTCCTTGCAAGTCAGCAAAACGCTTTAGGGCCTTGTAAATGCGCGCGATTTCGAGCAAAGCAAACATATAGAAATTATAGTTTTCGCTATTTGTTGACGTTTGTCAGCGTTTAAGAGTCCTTCTCACGAAAAAAGCATTTTCTTAAAAATTCGTAGTTTTTTTTCCTTCAAATTTTTTCAGGGCCACAATTGATTAACTAACTACCCGGACTCTGAATTTCATGGTCATTGAAAAACTGTGACATTATCTTCTATAAGCCCAAACTTGAGTAAACATTGAAGATTTTTAGCGTTTTGGCTGAGTTTGTGCTTTGGGAGTTGTCTATTGTTTCTAGTCTGTCATTATACAGCATTCTTGTTCAGCACGCGTGCAATGACCACGCTTGGCTGACTTCCGAATGCTCACCGAACTTACAACTTCTTACATTTGATAACTTTCTCTCGCCACTACGACATTCTCGCTAAAACTCGTAGTAGAATGACGAGAGCCATCACGTTTTCCCGCCAAAATGACGCTGGTTCACGCGCGAGCAATACTTAGTATTGAGAAAATCTCGGTAGCCATCCACGTCCTCGAATCTAAAGCTCTCTATATATCACGAGCAAAAGGAGTAAGAAGGGTTACCGATTTACCTTTGCTATGTTTTGTCCATCAATGGAGATGACGCCAGAGTCCAGATCATAGAATCTGTACAATAACCTGATGATGGTGCTTTTTCCACTTCCCGAAGGACCAACTAGTGCCACAGTCTGACCAGGATACACAGTGAAACACACGTCTTTTAGAATCTGTTTTCTGTGAACGGTAGTAAATAACCAATTACCAAGTAAAAGAAAAAATAACGCTCGATAGGTTAGCTACTGCGGTCACTTCAGAACATAACTGTACTATGTTACTTCACAAAAATAAATGTTATACATTTGAACCACAAACCGAACAACATGTACACTTAATTTCGCGAAAAATCGTTAGCTATATTTCGCGAGTATTCAATTTGGCGATTTTTAGGAAAAAGTAGAATTAGATCATATTAAATTTCGCGATTTTAAAGGAAACTTTGACCTCAAAACAGTAACAAATAATTTTATTGAAACAAAAGCAAACAAAGACAATTACAAACAAGACAAGCTAAATATAACAAAGCATGGGCTAAATAGGTACCCGCAAATGGTTAGATAGTAAATATTTACCGTCTGATAAACTTTGTTCCTCTAATGTTCTGTCAGACATCACATGATACGGAGGTCCTTATTCTGTCCAAGATATTTCTTTTATGGATATGAATGGGATTTTAATCTCCGCGAGGATTAGATTTCGGAGGTATTAAATTTCGCCATTTTTCCCATATCGAGAAAACTGCAAAATTTAATACTCGCGAAATTAACTGAGAATAAGGTACAAGGAGTTTGACTTATCGTGATATTAATTTTTCAGTGTCAAAATTTCCACTTGGTACAACTTTTGTTCACAACACTGCCATGCAGGGTGGAAGATCACAAACAAATTTTAGCTGGAAATTTTCATTCAGAGACAATCAAACAAACTTACTCCGGGTTATATGAAAAGTTGACATGCTGAAACTCTATCAGACCATTGGTGACTCTGATATCTGGAGCATGGGGCTCATCTATCACCTGAAAGCAAATATTTATAGATTGCAAACAGGAACAATAACAAAATGACCAAAAATGGTATTTATTCTAAAGCTAGCTTTGCCAGTAGGAAAAATGAAGCAAATCCTTCTTTCTCGTTTGTCACCAACTTTACGACAAATCTCTCATAGCTCGCTCAAGATGGTTCGATATTGTCATACTGTATGTACATGTTTCGTCATTTATTAAACATTGTGCTCACTATCTGTTTTCGCATTGGCTAAGAGCCTACAGCTATAAATTTTGGAAATCAGCACAACCTCATGATTACTTTCGTTCTCTGCCAGCAGATAACAGACCAATCTGTAGGTTGCGTGAGCAATGCATGATTTCCAAAGCTATATCAGTTCAGTTCTTTGTGACACTGTTGTTATTTTCTTCAAAACAATGTATAATAAACCAATTATTAGATTCGGTTTTTTGTGATATCCTAAATAATCAAGATCTCAGGCTTCAGCTTGGCTGATAACACTTACCTCGACCTTGATTATTCTGGATATCACAAAAACCTCATCCAATAATAATGTTTAAAATTAGGGGCCACTACTTGGAAGTCAATAATAGCTGGCTCACTAACATAGACATAATTCAGGAAAGGCCTTTGCTTGCAACTTTTTTCTTAATTTCATACCCATTAACATACAAAATAACCTTACAAAAAAGTCAAAAATTGACCAAGGGATAAAACTGAAACCTACCTTACCAGTAGGAAAATTATCTGCAATATAAATGATTACATTATGATATTATTTTTCACCTACACACCTGTCTTTTCTGCTGAAACAAGTCAAACATGTTTTCCATGTCAATGAAAGACTGTTGAATCATCCTAAAATAAAGTGAAAGAAATAAGTATGCTTAGTAACAAATGTTAAGCCAGTTCTCTTGACTTGATACAACCAGTAATAAAGCTCCATGCGCCGTGCCGCTTGACTTGAACACAATGCTAAAAGGGGTATGTCATGAGGATATTGGTGTTTTAGGTCAATTTTGAGCTGAAGTCATTACTATAAGTGCCTTTACACATATGCAAAATTCTCCTGTAGAGTTAAGAGGAAGATATCCATGAAACAAATTTCACCAGAGAGCATTAAGCACAGTAGTTTTGGGTTATTTTTGAAGGCACAGTATTAAACCCTGAAAAAAATAGCACAGCGTTTTAATCCATGTCCATCCTTGCCACCTGTAGCAACAGACGACAGGAAACAGTTTCAATGCCTAATTATAGTTTTAAATAACAAAACTGGACCATTCTTTTTGGAATTCAATTGATGCGAAGACAAGAACTTTTAGCCTTTTAAAAAGATAGCAAATTGCCTGAAGCAGTCCCTTGGCACTAGTATTCATTTTAAAAGCCTCTACATCCTAAAATGATGCATGAATGACTCTGAAAAATCTCTCTTATCCCAATTTTTTTCTACACATCCCACGCTCTTACCTGTAGTAAGTTCCAAAGTAGTTTAGGGGTACGTACAGCTGTGTGGTGTATGTCACAAACAGAACAAAATCTCCAACCTGCAGAAAAACAGTGCACAGAAAAACTCATGGTGCTGTGGAACAAGATATCCATTGGTCTGGATTTAGAACCATCACGTCTCAGAAAATTCTAGTTCAGTTACAAAGTTGGCTTTAGAGACCCCCACTGTGGAATTCCCCTCAAATGAACTGAAAGATTAGCCTGTGAGCAAGCTCTCCGGGGTGCTCTGGTGATGGGGTGGGAAAAGAATGGAGAGTTTGCAACTACGTCTCTGAAACTTGAATTCCACCTCCAATTCTCCTGTGGCTACCCGTTGACTGACCTGACCTGACCCGGGAAGCGGAAACGATTGCAAATGTAAACAAACATTGAAAAACACGTGCCAAGGGTAACGATGTCATTACTAATGTCATCTTCGCCAATCAGCATTTCGCATTGACTTTTTCGATGCAGCTATTCAAATTCCAGAGACGTAATTCCAAGCTCTCCTTCCTTTTCCGGTCCCGCTGCCAGAGCACCCTGAGAGCTTGCTCGCAATCTCCCTCATACAGTAAGATAAGCTACACTTGGGAAGAGAGGGTCGGGCTAAAAAATTTACAGTAATTTAGTAGCAAAAGCACAGATCTGAATAACATTGGTTAGAGTGCAAAGCTACAGCAGAAAGTAAGACATAATCTGCTGTAAATTTGAGGGGCAACCATAGTTCACAGAAATAAGATGCAAAGCGGCTGGCTACATTGGGTTAAGGTTAACCACTTGTTTAAATTACAAATAACTATCACAACTTGTGACACTCCTCTAAGATTTATTCAATAAATCGGCATTCTTTAACCAACTTTTGAACACCTTATTGGCAAAAACACGTCATGGAGTCACTCATGATCACATTATTTTACACTAATTTCCGCAACAACGTTTTGGAAAATGACTGGGTATGACTTGCAATATTGCATCTGAGGTACAAAGACAGCAGTTAAAATAAAGAAACATAAGTAAGATACTACTCATGCACAAAAATGTTTTTTTGAGTTTGTGCTTTGGGAGTTGTCTATTGTTTCTAGTCTGTCATTATACAGCATTCTTGTTCAGCACGCGTGCAATGACCACGCTTGGCTGACTTCCGAATGCTCACCGAACTTACAACTTCTTACATTTGATAACTTTCTCTCGCCACTACGACATTCTCGCTAAAACTCGTAGTAGAATGACGAGAGCCATCACGTTTTCCCGCCAAAATGACGCTGGTTCACGCGCGAGCAATACTTAGTATTGAGAAAATCTCGGTAGCCATCCACGTCCTCGAATCTAAAGCTCTCTATATATCACGAGCAAAAGGAGTAAGAAGGGTTACCGATTTACCTTTGCTATGTTTTGTCCATCAATGGAGATGACGCCAGAGTCCAGATCATAGAATCTGTACAATAACCTGATGATGGTGCTTTTTCCACTTCCCGAAGGACCAACTAGTGCCACAGTCTGACCAGGATACACAGTGAAACACACGTCTTTTAGAATCTGTTTTCTGTGAACGGTAGTAAATAACCAATTACCAAGTAAAAGAAAAAATAACGCTCGATAGGTTAGCTACTGCGGTCACTTCAGAACATAACTGTACTATGTTACTTCACAAAAATAAATGTTATACATTTGAACCACAAACCGAACAACATGTACACTTAATTTCGCGAAAAATCGTTAGCTATATTTCGCGAGTATTCAATTTGGCGATTTTTAGGAAAAAGTAGAATTAGATCATATTAAATTTCGCGATTTTAAAGGAAACTTTGACCTCAAAACAGTAACAAATAATTTTATTGAAACAAAAGCAAACAAAGACAATTACAAACAAGACAAGCTAAATATAACAAAGCATGGGCTAAATAGGTACCCGCAAATGGTTAGATAGTAAATATTTACCGTCTGATAAACTTTGTTCCTCTAATGTTCTGTCAGACATCACATGATACGGAGGTCCTTATTCTGTCCAAGATATTTCTTTTATGGATATGAATGGGATTTTAATCTCCGCGAGGATTAGATTTCGGAGGTATTAAATTTCGCCATTTTTCCCATATCGAGAAAACTGCAAAATTTAATACTCGCGAAATTAACTGAGAATAAGGTACAAGGAGTTTGACTTATCGTGATATTAATTTTTCAGTGTCAAAATTTCCACTTGGTACAACTTTTGTTCACAACACTGCCATGCAGGGTGGAAGATCACAAACAAATTTTAGCTGGAAATTTTCATTCAGAGACAATCAAACAAACTTACTCCGGGTTATATGAAAAGTTGACATGCTGAAACTCTATCAGACCATTGGTGACTCTGATATCTGGAGCATGGGGCTCATCTATCACCTGAAAGCAAATATTTATAGATTGCAAACAGGAACAATAACAAAATGACCAAAAATGGTATTTATTCTAAAGCTAGCTTTGCCAGTAGGAAAAATGAAGCAAATCCTTCTTTCTCGTTTGTCACCAACTTTACGACAAATCTCTCATAGCTCGCTCAAGATGGTTCGATATTGTCATACTGTATGTACATGTTTCGTCATTTATTAAACATTGTGCTCACTATCTGTTTTCGCATTGGCTAAGAGCCTACAGCTATAAATTTTGGAAATCAGCACAACCTCATGATTACTTTCGTTCTCTGCCAGCAGATAACAGACCAATCTGTAGGTTGCGTGAGCAATGCATGATTTCCAAAGCTATATCAGTTCAGTTCTTTGTGACACTGTTGTTATTTTCTTCAAAACAATGTATAATAAACCAATTATTAGATTCGGTTTTTTGTGATATCCTAAATAATCAAGATCTCAGGCTTCAGCTTGGCTGATAACACTTACCTCGACCTTGATTATTCTGGATATCACAAAAACCTCATCCAATAATAATGTTTAAAATTAGGGGCCACTACTTGGAAGTCAATAATAGCTGGCTCACTAACATAGACATAATTCAGGAAAGGCCTTTGCTTGCAACTTTTTTCTTAATTTCATACCCATTAACATACAAAATAACCTTACAAAAAAGTCAAAAATTGACCAAGGGATAAAACTGAAACCTACCTTACCAGTAGGAAAATTATCTGCAATATAAATGATTACATTATGATATTATTTTTCACCTACACACCTGTCTTTTCTGCTGAAACAAGTCAAACATGTTTTCCATGTCAATGAAAGACTGTTGAATCATCCTAAAATAAAGTGAAAGAAATAAGTATGCTTAGTAACAAATGTTAAGCCAGTTCTCTTGACTTGATACAACCAGTAATAAAGCTCCATGCGCCGTGCCGCTTGACTTGAACACAATGCTAAAAGGGGTATGTCATGAGGATATTGGTGTTTTAGGTCAATTTTGAGCTGAAGTCATTACTATAAGTGCCTTTACACATATGCAAAATTCTCCTGTAGAGTTAAGAGGAAGATATCCATGAAACAAATTTCACCAGAGAGCATTAAGCACAGTAGTTTTGGGTTATTTTCGAAGGCACAGTATTAAACCCTGAAAAAAATAGCACAGCGTTTTAATCCATGTCCATCCTTGCCACCTGTAGCAACAGACGACAGGAAACAGTTTCAATGCCTAATTATAGTTTTAAATAACAAAACTGGACCATTCTTTTTGGAATTCAATTGATGCGAAGACAAGAACTTTTAGCCTTTTAAAAAGATAGCAAATAGCCTGAAGCAGTCCCTTGGCACTAGTATTCATTTTAAAAGCCTCTACATCCTAAAATGATGCATGAATGACTCTGAAAAATCTCTCTTATCCCAATTTTTTTCTACACATCCCACGCTCTTACCTGTAGTAAGTTCCAAAGTAGTTTAGGGGTACGTACAGCTGTGTGGTGTATGTCACAAACAGAACAAAATCTCCAACCTGCAGAAAAACAGTGCACAGAAAAACTCATGGTGCTGTGGAACAAGATATCCATTGGTCTGGATTTAGAACCATCACGTCTCAGAAAATTCTAGTTCAGTTACAAAGTTGGCTTTAGAGACCCCCACTGTGGAATTCCCCTCAAATGAACTGAAAGATTAGCCTGTGAGCAAGCTCTCCGGGGTGCTCTGGTGATGGGGTGGGAAAAGAATGGAGAGTTTGCAACTACGTCTCTGAAACTTGAATTCCACCTCCAATTCTCCTGTGGCTACCCGTTGACTGACCTGACCTGACCCGGGAAGCGGAAACGATTGCAAATGTAAACAAACATTGAAAAACACGTGCCAAGGGTAACGATGTCATTACTAATGTCATCTTCGCCAATCAGCATTTCGCATTGACTTTTTCGATGCAGCTATTCAAATTCCAGAGACGTAATTCCAAGCTCTCCTTCCTTTTCCGGTCCCGCTGCCAGAGCACCCTGAGAGCTTGCTCGCAATCTCCCTCATACAGTAAGATAAGCTACACTTGGGAAGAGAGGGTCGGGCTAAAAAATTTACAGTAATTTAGTAGCAAAAGCACAGATCTGAATAACATTGGTTAGAGTGCAAAGCTACAGCAGAAAGTAAGACATAATCTGCTGTAAATTTGAGGGGCAACCATAGTTCACAGAAATAAGATGCAAAGTGGCTGGCTACATTGGGTTAAGGTTAACCACTTGTTTAAATTACAAATAACTATCACAACTTGTGACACTCCTCTAAGATTTATTCAATAAATCGGCATTCTTTAACCAACTTTTGAACACCTTATTGGCAAAAACACGTCATGGAGTCACTCATGATCACATTATTTTACACTAATTTCCGCAACAACGTTTTGGAAAATGACTGGGTATGACTTGCAATATTGCATCTGAGGTACAAAGACAGCAGTTAAAATAAAGAAACATAAGTAAGATACTACTCATGCACAAAAATGTTTTTAAACAAGGTAGTGAATTTCAAGGATTTTTCAAGACCTTATAGAGAAATCAAGTACTTTTCAAAAACCTTAACCAAATTTAAGGAATTTTCAAGAAAAATACTATAAATTCAAGACCTTTTCAGGATTGTATGAACCATGAAGGGTAGGGCAAGATATCCTTTAACTAAATCATTAACTATGACAAGTAAGAAATGGCCTTCGGAAAGTAAAATGAGAGAGCTTCTTGCCCAAAGGACAAACTGCAATTCAAATAATTACTATTCTTTTTCGAGCCCTGACACATGGCTGGAATCTTATTACCAGTACTTACCCCTAGACTTCCGTCAACAACTAGCTTGCCACAATAGAGTGTTCCAGCCAAAAGACCAGCAGTAATTACACTGTTCTGAGCAGTGTTCAGCAGTGCAAGAGATGCAATGGTTTCCCACTCACAATTCTGAAAGAAAAGTGAACATGAACAGTTGCAACATGGCAACTGGTACTGCCTGGAAACTGTTCTGCTATATTGGAACATATGCTGCCAGTAACAAGAAACCTAGAAGGTCTAAACCCGCATGCCCGTGAAGTTGAACACAAGTCATCATCACAGGCATGCCGGCTATAAAGACTGTCGTGGCCTCAGTTGCTGGCGACTCCTGTTCTTATATCGCAACACTACCCCAGGCAGCAGGTAGATCAGCGGCATATGAGAACCAACCTTACAAATTGTGCAAAGCAGTCATAGTATTTAAGGTAAACAAGCACAGTATTATTGTGTACTCAACTTAAAAGTTAGCCTTTTGCATTTTTACTTACTGCACATTTCTTTCACCGTCAAAAATTGCTACAGAGCCCTATATGGATCATCACAATGAGTACTGTCATCTAAAAACTAAATTTAATTTTTTGTTTTCAAGTCAATGATATAAAAAACGAACTAAGTAATCCTGTGTTAACAACTGCAACTCTGCTTACTGGAGGTGGGTGTCCGGGATGACCACGGGCTTCCACTTTTGACAAAGCCAGCCCATAGACAGAGTTACACCCCCATGGTTGGTAAACTTGTGCCTTCCAACCATGAGCCCCCACACCAATGGAACCAGGCACCTGTCACACTGATTTATCAGTGGAAAAATAAAAGGTGGGGGGGAGTAATGGGAGTAAATCCAAAAGATGAACAAAGCGAGTAGTCTCCAAGAAACGCCATACAAAGCATGTGGAGCTGATGCAAGCAAGGCTGACCATGCTTGAGCCAATGCACTGACAGCTGACCGACAATAAGCGAGGGCACTCCTTGTTGTTAACTGCATTACATTTCATTTAATGTCAAGATTTAGTTGAGTACAGCCCATGACAAGCTGAAAACACAATAATAAACTGCTGATTCTCATCTTCTCCTCCTCTAAACACTGATTGAATACACCTTACAAGCCCCGCTAGTCTTCAAATCTTTCAAAAGGCAAAATTGAGGAAATTAAGAAGAAGGAAAGGGCATGTGAAAGTAAAAAGGCACACACAACTCTTTACCTGGTAGTCCTTTATTGCATCATCAAGTCTCTCCACTTCAAAGTCCTCTCCACTGTAATACTTCACCTGAAAAAGAATGCCTAACCCTTTCACACCTAATTGTGACTAAAGTAACCAATTTCTACCCCATCTCCTCCTCCCCCTTCCCCCCTCACCTCCCCAACTACCAACCTTAACAAATCAATGAAGACTGCCAATCCTTTTTACTCCGATCTATAATCGAAGTTCTAACTTACAAATGAACATATTTTACCTACATCACACCTTCACTACTATAGAGAAGGAAAGGGGAGGTAAAAAAAAAAAACGCACACCCACCCTTATCTGTGTGTCCTCTTTTTTCCTACTAAACTTCTCCCCTTTCAAAACCCCCCCCCACTAAAAACTTCCCCAAAAAAAAAAGTCCCACCCCTTCCCCCCCAATTTTGGGAAAAAGAAACAATTTTCCCCCCCCCCCCCCCGTCCAAAGGAAAAAGTACAAATTTCTTAAAGTTAGATTCCAAGATTTAAATATTAAATACTATGCAAAGTTCTGCCCATGAGGTTTCATTTGAATGGTAACATCATAGGCTATTTTCCACAGACTCAAAAGATAAAGTCAGGGCTGTGATCTAGCCATGCCCGGTGGCCCGTGGTACCTTACCTTTGTGCTTGGGTGACTAGTAAAGCTTACTTTTTCATAAAAATCATGGGCAGCCTGGATGTGACAGATTCAGAGCACTGTGCTCCCTTTGGCATATTTTAAAAGCCAAAAACCCTCCACAAAAGCAATAACATCAACTACTGGTCACTATAATCACAAACACAAGCCTACAATGTAACATGTTAGCAAAGTTTTTGCTGATGTAGAACACAAAAAGGCAACTTGCAAAAAAAAAATTTTTGCTTGAAGGCTTACAGTTTCAAAGTTCAGCAAAGAATCTACAGCTTTAGCCTTGGCACGGTTATCTTTCTCGTTCATCTCCCGCCGGTACTTTGTTCGCCATTCAGTGATCCACACAGTGGCAGCTGAGAGAACACAATAAAGTTAATAAATGAAGTGTTTTAAGACAATGCCCTGATATATTATGGCATTAACATGTAGCATCGTGAGGAGTTTTTAACCATTTCACTGCCAAAGGTAACCAAAGTTCAAGTTTGACAAAAAACATCTCAATTTCATTTTTGTAAAATGTTGAAAAACAAATAACACCATGTGAAGGTACTGCTGAAGTGCTTTTACTTTTCTGGCCATATCGTAGATGTTTGACTACAGGTATGAAAGATAAAACCACCTCAGGAAACTTCATCATTCACTCTGGCAGTGAATGAGTTAGACTGTTAAGTACAACAGCTCACATTTTAGATGGTACACAATTCACCATTTTCACATACACCACAATGCACCTTGTTTACTCCCCAAAATTTTGCATAACTATTGCCTTTGATTTTTCTTGGAATGACTGAAATAGCCAAGAGAAACTGGAAACAATGTTTATGCAATTTTTTTTTTTTGGGGGGGGGAGGTGGGTAAACACTTGGTGCAATATGGTCTATGTGGAAATGGTGAATAGTACACCCTTAGAAACAAAAAAGAGGGTAAAATTTTAAAAAGTGACTCTTTCTCTTTTATCATCAAAACATTTCATGAATGTTTATTATGTTACAACCATCACAGCAATGTTCAGGACACATGAGCTAGCCACAAACCACAATGTTGCTGCTTGCGGGCTTAGTTTTCTCGCACTTAATTGGCTTTCTCCTTGAAACACAATAACAATTGCAGAAATACTTCCAGTGTTCATGGTTTTCTGGGTTCCACAGTTACATTTACATTAATTGATTCATTGATCTAATTGCACAATCTACACAATTTTAATATGAGAAAAAGGAGTTAAATGATTGACTCTAGAATGGAATATTGAGTTTTGTACTCATTTATTTTTAATACTGCAAATACTAATCAGTCTTACCTATGTAAAGAAACATGGTTAAGAAGACAAGTAATCCAAACCAGCCATTGAAAGCAATGATGAAATACACAATAGCCACTCCAATGTCAACAAATGTAGGGAGAATATTAAACAAAAGGTAGCTAAAAATACAAAAAAGTCAAAGAACAGTCACGCACGTTTCGGAAAACAACATAAAGTTCTCTCTGCTCAATCAATAAATTCCTGCTACGGTAAAAATAAGGCCTTTCCAAGACCCTTAAAACCATAGACATGATTGGTTGACTTGTTCCTGAAACTTTCCAATATTATTAAATCCCCTGAGGCAGACTAAGAATCCCAGAATGAGGCAGACACATTTATTAAAATTGAAAAGTAGAGCTGGTCCAAGTACATCACCTTTTGAGAGACATTATCAGGGACATCATAATGTACAGTGTTCTCACCAGGATTTTACATTGAGGAGTCCCAGGGTCCCCTCTGAGGAGAAATAGGGGCCCTGTAACAACATTAGGGAGCCCGCACTCCAAAGAGTCTGTTACTTGAAGTCCTTACCTGATCCAATGTGGCAGATGGGGTGTTTATGATTCAATAACGATGTGCTCACATGCACCAATCTTCGCAGTGTACGTGGTAACAATGAAAAATTATAAACTTTGAATCTTTTGATATCATGTTTTTTATTAATTGGACCAAGCAAAATGCTGAGGTGTTGGGTTGACCATTAAAACTACTTAACTGTAGATGTTCTAAAGTCTGTTTGACTCGTAGCACACCCCTATGCCCTAACGGGCACATCTTCTTGGCTTTTTATGTGCCATCTCAGATTTTCTTACAGGAATCCTGCAAGGCCGCAGCCTGGTGAGAACACTGAATTTACGATTGTTCTTAAATTAAATTTTTAAATTAATAAATTGATTCAACAAATTTAATTGAGAAATTTAAACATTAATCCTTATTTACTGATATATCATACTTTCAAATATAGCAGCCTTACTTTGACCAAACTAGAAGAATTAACCCTTTAAGCCCCAATATCCACATACAAATTCTCCAAACTGATCTCCATACATCTCCCTTAACAATTAGTTGAGAGAATTTGATAAAAGATCAAAGCATTTTCTCTTTGGTGATCATTTTTTATATTCTCACAACCTTATCTCATGATAATGTATGGACACTGTTAGGAGAAAATTGCTGTTGGTCACTATTGGGACTTAAAGACTGAAGCCAAAATAGCTAGTAACTTACTTCAGTAGGTTGTAAATGCTGTTGGCACCTCTGTCCACCATCCTAATCACTTCTCCAGTTTTACGATTCAAATGCCAGCTAAGTGACAGACTGAAAATATTGAAGTCAAAGCAAGTAATCCTTCAATAAGGTTAGGAAAAGCTCACAAAGATTAATCCTTCAAGATGCAGCATTTGTTTTTGCCAAATTTCAATGAAATAATAAAATTGTAATGCTACAACCCCAGACAAAACCTGTTGAGACAAATCGCGAAAATGCCTTTTTTTTCCTGTCATCCTGGCAAAAACTGAAACCTCCGCCAAATGAATGCCGGATTTCCCCCCTCCCCTTATCCAAAGTTGTTTAGGATAGCATGGCAGTTATACACGTTGGTTTTTAGACCAAGACAACTTTGAATAGGGGGTGGGGAGGGGGCTTACTTTTTCTGTTTAGAGGAGACGACAGTAGGGGGCAAAAGTTAGAAAATAAATGGAATTGTCTCAACAGTTTTGTCCGGGGTTGTAGTTCTTAGAAAATCAATGTATACTTGATAATCAAAGGGTGCATTCTGTTGGAATGATCCAGACCAACACTACTGATCCAGGATCACTCAGATCGTCGTAAATCAAAGTAAATACCACAAATGTCATCTGGATACAGATTCATCAGTACATTTGATGCAACATGACCCGAGTCATCTGGGATCATAAATCCTGATCTGGATCATTGAAAATCTCACAAAGATTAACACTTTGAGATACTTTTACCAAATTTCATTTTTGTAAATCTGGTTCTTATATATGTTGTGGTTCAATTTTATCCTTGGTTTAAATTTTATTTCCCTTTGTTTTAAACTCATTATCATACATTACCATACCAAAAAACAAAAGGAAATAAATTTTAACTAAGAATAAATTTGAACCACAACATCTATAAATTATTATTACTCATGCTATTTACAAACTTTTTCAAAAAGCTAAAATGCATCTATATTGAATGCATATAATATACATATACATGTATCATATTTTATATAACTTTATCATCATCATCATCATCTTTGAGAGTTATTTTTCTGTTTCCCCTGACAAGAGCTGGCCTTAACCCAATGTTCATAGTTCCTTGACCTCTCCTGTGGGGGGAATGCCTTTATTAAACAAACGCAAATGGTAGATGCCAACAGAGTGCCAAGTGTCTTGACAAACAGAAATTTGGAAAATCGTCTTTTAAAAAATGTAAAGTCAACTTTCAACAAAATAACAAAAGGAAAGGCAAATAGGTTTGAAAGCCTCGAGCCAGCTCAAAAATTATTCATTAATATTATGCTAAAACTGTGTACGTTTTTTCATTCAAACTTTATGACAAGACATATACCTGTGGAGATGTGCAAAAAGCCGAACTTGAAGAGTTCTACTGGTAAACTGTTGGATCTTTATCCACAGGAAAGCCTTTATGTTGTTCAGTAACCCAATCCCTCCAGTGCCACCACCCTGTAAAAATCTTAGTGCCACATAAATCAGAATCAGGTGCCAGGGATCAGAGAGTGCAACACTTCCTGGTGTAAGGCGGTTAACTGAAATGACAGAAAACAGGAAACGTTCAGAAGTAATTCAGGTCAAGTCTCATTAACTTAATCGGGCACCTCCTTTACCGGACAGTCCCATCAATAAACTGTGACACCACAATTAACAATTCAGCAGAATGTTATTACAAAGTTTCCTGTTGAGCTAATACTCTTAATGTATTTTTTGATTCCCTATTCATCCCTATTCATCCCACCCAAGGGTGGGGTGGTATTTGCTACTCTCATGTTTGTTATCATCAATCTCCACACTTGGCTATTGCTTTCTGGCTCCACATAAATGAATTCAAAATTTCACATTATTAACCCATTCGCCCCTGAGCTGCCCGTAACCACCCGTGCAGATCCACGTCCCTTCTACCGCTTGTGACGTCATCAGTTTTAATGGTCAAGGGCAACTTTGTCCACTAATGTGTGCAGAGTGAAGAGATTTTTCAAACCATACCATAATGAGCTCAATTCAGTCAAGGACACCAGAGAAAAAGGCAAAAAACATGTAACATTGACCCAAAAATTGCCATGAAAATCTTGTTCCACTACCCACCTACCTTTTCTTTCACCTAATCCTAAGATCCTTAAAGTTTTCCTAAAAACTTTTCCTACCAAAATAAAGCCTACTAAATGCTCCACAAAAGAAAAAAAAATGAGGCAAGAAAAGCGAAAAAAGAGGGGAGGAGAGAAAACGAAAAGTCAAAGTCAAAACTATCTCCACATTTTGCTTTCTGTGCATGCCCAAACTTTGCAAGCTGATATTTTGCAACTGAATCAGCAGGCTGCGAAGTGTACGACCTGCAAACGGCTTTGTGGTAAGTTTTAGCTCTTAACAGCACGACGGTGACCAGAAAACCACTCGAAAAGCTTCAAGAGGCGTTTTTTGGCAAAATCTCCAGGGGTGATTGGGTTAAAAATAAACTGGAAATACATTACCACAAAATCCTTGCGAAGCTTTAAAGGATCAGCAGGAATAATAAAGGGAAACAAGTAAAGGGGAAAAAAGTGATCAAAAAACTAAAAAAAAATTCCAAATTTTAAAAGAATGGCTTTGCCGGGATTCGAACTTGCTCTCTCCGAATTTGCTATCAGTGAAAATTGATCCTTGACCACTGCTCCACACAGTCACCTGAGGTCACAACTGGATGACATCAACTGCGGACACCCATGAGATCTCAAGAAATATTTGCGTCTCGAGTTTCTGCCTCACTGTGCGATCAACATGTGAGGCGAGTGCTGCGTGCGCAACAAATTTATAAACCTCACGATACGAGGCACCAAACTTTACCCAGAATAAAATCATTCAGACAAAGTAATAATGGAACTCACCTATTATTTTGTACATATAAGGGACAAGAACATTAACAGCACGTCCTGCTCCCAGGAGAAGAAAGCATACAACCACCTTTACTTGAAGGCCCCTATAAACAAACAAGGGAAAGACTTGACTGTGTGGTTTGCAGAATATTGACATAAAAATCTCTTAGCCCTTCTTCTCGCTGCGCTCGTTCGTAAAATATTGTTTTGCCACTTGAAAATAAAAGTCATATCTTCACGCCACCATGTAATATCCTCTATGTAATTTGTTACAATAATATTTATTGATGACTAGGGCCTCTTGAATTGATATTTTATTGTTAAATAATATATTTTTTACCCAGGGAGAAGAAGGGCTAAGAGATTTTTATGTCAATATTCTGCTGTTAATTAATGAAAAATAAGCTTTTACAAAGTGTAAATCATCATCATCATCATTATTATTATCAGGGAATTATTGTAATTTTTGGCTTGGTTGTTTAGTCTCAGAAGCACTGAGTCCAAACCATGGACCTTGGGTACCAAAGAGTTTACTTGATTGACAGGACCTTTCTGAGGATGTGGACTATTTGTTCCCAGAAGAGTGATTTTTTGGACCTCGCTGATGCCAGTTGTTCCTTGAATTCTGTCAACGCACTTTTCCAGTCCCTTCTTAATGACCCCAAGCGCCCCAATAGCAACTGGTATTGTCTCTGTTTCCATTTTTCCACATTCTGGCAGTTTCAAGCTCTAAGTCTTTATCCTAAGAGAGCTCCTCGACTACCTTAATGGATGTATTATTATTATGTATAACGTATTATTATTATTATTATTATTATCATTATTATTATTATTACCTGTCTGCAGGCCATAAGAAGGGCCACAACATCTTTGTTTTGTGCCAGATATCTTTGAAGGCTGACTGTCCACGACGGTCAGTTGCCTTAAAGAATAAGATCAGCAACTGGTGAGTGTTGAAAAGCATAAAAATACTGTGTATCTCTACTCCCAGACCTTTTGAAAATTACAATAAAATAACCAAGACATGCCGTACTTGGTACACTCAGGTTGGCTCAGGGCTGTCATTAAAGTTTCAAATAGCCGGTCTCTTAGGAAAAGCAATCGGTCATTTATCCTACAAATTCTCCAGTGTTTGTAATGTTTGACTTATTTAGAAACTTTAAATAGCCGGCTGATTTAACAGCAGTAGCCTGCCAAAAAAGCTGGTTCCCGGCTACTAATGGTTGTGATGTAATGATCTCAAAGGTCAGTACACACCAGGCGACAAGTTGCAGCAACAAGTCGCGGAGACAGATCACTCGGTGTGTACAGGTCCAGTGACTAGTTGCAGCAACATGTTATGGTGACAGTGACAAATCGCTTCGTGTGTACTGAAGAAATAATTTGTGAAAATCTTTGTCTCTGCAACAGAATTTTGTCACTGCAACAAGTCACACAAATTATGTCTGATTTGAGTTTTTGCAACATGTTGCTGTGAAAAAAATCTGTTGCAGAGACAAACATTTTCACAAAAATTCTCTAGTACACACATGAAGCAATAATCTGTTGCTGCGACATGTTGCTGCAACTTGTCCCCTGATGTGTACCCACCTTCAGTCTTTCAACTACCTATTTGCAATAGGTTGAATATTTGCCATGGTATTTTACTGTATTGGTTTCTCGCATGAAGAGAGAATATGCAGAAAGAATTTTCCCTACCGCGGATCCTTCCAGAAATGTTGTTTCTTCTGTGACTGATACTTGTGATATGGGTGGACGATAAAGCCCTGGTCCCAACATTCCAAACAGAAAGATCAGAGCCATGATGGTATAGCGTGACACAAACAAACCAAATTCTGCTTCGTGGATCCTTGTATTCCTGCCAAACCACCAGTGAGGATTGTGCCATGAGATGAAGGACAAGTTCTCCTTGACAAATGCCAAAGTCCAGAACATGAGCATTCCAAGGGAATGCCTGCTAATGTGAGCCTTAAAATACTGTGCACACTCCGCACGCAGAGCAAAAAATCCTAACATCCAAGTAATGAACATGCTAGCGTCATTAACAATGACATATCCTTGTATTCTGTCAGGCGCAATGGTAGCCTTTGTTATGATATCAATAACAGGAATAAACAAAAGGATGATGTGTAAGAACTGTTGAAATGTGAACAAAAATGATGTGCGATTGTCTCCATGGATTAAATAAGAGGGGTTTGCAATAAACTGCATGGAAGTGTCTTCAAAGTCACAATGTCCATCAAGACGCTTACAATTCAATACGGAGTTACGTGTCTTGTGTTCTTCTCTTACAATTTCCTGAACAGATGGCGATTCCTCATCAGATAACAAAGTATGTCGATTGCTTTCGGCACGGATCTTTCTTTTTTTCCACAGTTGAAGCAGAAATAGAAAGAAGATAAAGAGGAGAAGAACAACAGGGGGTACAGTGCCCATAATGCATCTTGGCAAGCCAGAATCCGTGGATGTATGACTTGTTAAGGTTTCATTAAAATCACAATAATGAGAACAAATCATGGTGATAGCTGATGGTTGTAAATTTATTCTATCCTGTGAAAAAAAAAAACAAGGTATATTTTAGTAACAAATTAAAGCGATGAAACTTCCATCTACTAAATCAATTTTTATCATTAATGATGAAGATGAAACCATGACACAGTGACAACAAGCAACAAAAAAGAAACCTTTCTTGATTATTGATTGTACACCATGGCAATTGCATCTTGGCAATTTTCTAGTGGCTTACATGCGAAACAAGGGTTGACATAAACCCCTGTTCTTCTATCCCCCCAACCCTTGGACAAGGTGTGGATTAGGGGGCAAATGAAGGGTATTTGAGAGAAAATACATCTTCCAGAGGATAGGCCAGGATATTGAGAAATTCTTATGTTTATTATTACCCAAAGTGGGATATTGGGTGCTGTTTCCTTATGTTACAAACTTTACAGTGACAAAAGTAATAATTTGCTTTCAGTTAAATCTCAAAATAGAACAGGGTTGCATAACACTATTGTCTTCCAAACAACCCTCAAGTGCGCATCCAAGTTCCCATGAAGCACTGCAAATGACAGTAACCATAGTGCAATGTAGTAGCTTAGAGAGTTCTGAAACTTCTCATTCCACAATTGAAAGTTTTGGCTCTTGAGGAGATTAAATAAGATTCAAAGATCATTCCAGAAAAAAAAACGTTACAAAAGCCCACTCCATCTACCACAACTGCCATCTTGAAAGAAATTTAAAAACTAAGGGAGAAGGGGTAGATCAACCTCTCCCTCTGTCAGTTTCAACATCCATAATGGAGAGGGAGCGTTGGTCACAACAATAGAATCATCACTTGGACTGTGAAGCGAAATACGCCTGCTTTGCAAGCTCGCATAAACAATAATACTCAACTGGACTTGTGCATCGCTCTCACCTGATTTGAAATTACTTGCCCTATAACTCCCTGACTTGTACTCGATTGAGTCCTTTTACCATTTCTAATTATGATATGTCTGTACTATGTATGTACACATTTGTAATGATGATGCAGCATATTTCTGATAGAACCTTTTTGGGAGAAAAATCCGCCATTAAGAAAAAAAATGGATTCCAAAGAAAAAATAGTTTTGTTGCATTTTCACTAATCCGTCACTTTATTCCTTATTTTCGAATGGACCACTGATGAGAGCACCAGAGCATACATGTAAAACAGGCTTGCAAAGCCAGCTTTGATGATTCAAATTTATCTGAATGAAAAATATGTATCCACGAGCTCAGTAAACACTATGGGTAGTTTCATCGCACTTTGCTAAACCACAGTCTCGAAGTTTTAGAGAAACGTTGTCTCTGAATTGGAAGAATTAGAGACAGCTGTTCTGGCGCTTTTTTTTGCAGGGTGAAGGCCTCCAGCATGGGGCATTGGAGTGATTGGTTTCATACAAATTACCTTCAATTCTGCGTAAAACGCTAGTTTTGTCTTCACAGGGAAGCAGTAAACTCGAAAGTTGATACTAAAACCATAACTTCTCGAATTCTTTCATTTTCTGCTAGATAGACTAACGAGAAAGCTTACCTTTCAGCCGGGTAGCCACCGATGTAGTCCAAGGACAAAAACTGCAGGCTCATTCAAGTAACCGCGTAGGACTGGTTTCGTCGGAGAACGTCGGAGCCAGGTCGGAGCACAGACAGATGAGCGTTTTCTATTTTTTTTTTTCTTTTAAGCTTATTTTCTCACCCTAAGTCTTTTAGAGCTAATACTCGGAAAAATGGTATCAAGTGGCTCATTTAGGAAACAAAATCACAAAAGAAAAGAACTTCCGGATAACACTTGGATCGATTCCGGAAACTATCCGACTAAAGCCGAAAATTTCCGAAAGGATCATCCCGCGGGCTCACGTGGATTGGAATCACAAAAATGCAGCAATGCGAGCGAGAAATAAATAAAGATGAAGTGAAACGGACAGTTTTGCCGGTTCAGAAGCCATGGCTCATTAACTGGACAGTTAAAGAAATTAGACACATTTAATTTACTATGTATAGACTGAGTAGAAGATTTCGCCGGCGTTTTGGAAAGGATAGAGAGGAGAGGAAAGATAAACATGCGTCGGATTATGTTATCGTCTTGCTCGATGGAAGTGATCTTTCCTTCAACTTACACGTAAGTTTTTCTTCTACCTACAGTTTTATTATGTATTGTGGAATAGAACAGTTGATCACCTCATTCGAGAGTTTCTAAAAGTTTAGTTAATTACTGTTTTGATGCTGTCGAATACAATTTACGGAGTGGCCAATTTCCGTACCCGAACCGTTGAATAACGTTCGTCATGCGTTTTGCTTCGTTAACCTTAGCATAAAGGAATGTTTTCTCCAAGAGCTAATATTTACTAACGCCTTGCAAAATAGACGGTCTTTGATGTTTTTTGGGGGATCCACGTTAATGAGATAAGATCTTAATGTTAACGAAAATAATCTAACTTTTATTGCCATTCTATTGATCGATGCTCCTTCCACTAGCGCTGACTTGTGCGTAGCTTGATCAAGTTCACTCTGTGTGCAGCAGTAATCGAGGCCGATCTTGAAAAGCGTAGCTCAGTTGTCTGTTTGCATATTAAGTCGCTTTCATTTGTCTTATGAAAGCAAAAGAGTCCGCATTTGACCTTCACTCTTTTTGAGAAGATGTTTGAGCGGGGCGTTCCGTCAAAAAATTTATTTCAATTCGAAGTAAACTCGTTCATGCATTTTAAGTTTTCTAACAGGTTTTGTTTTGAACATTGAATATGTTTATTAATTTTTTTTTTTTATAATTTCTTTCAAATGCGATTCAGACGAGATAACAAAGCATTTCTGTGACTGAACGACAATCTGGCTATTTTTGTTGTGTTTGGTCAGATCGAACACGATTAACCCCTGATTTGTAAGCGCCTTCACTTCCGCTGAAATACTAAATTTGATGACAGACGAAAGTTTTCACTGTCATGCAAAAGGTTGTTACCGTAGCTGTTCTCTCCCGTGGATAATGTGTCAATTAAAGTTATTTTGTTTGTTGTAAGTCATTTTAAACAATAGTGAATGTTGACATTGGGTAATAAATCTGCGTGTCTGTTTATTATACTGCCAAATTAACTCTTATTGTGATGAGCATTAACAGGCCTTTCTCAAAATGAGAAGTCACTATTTTTGGCTTCTTAACTTAACAGTGGAAAAAAGCGAGACTTTAAGCATACATGTGCAATGAACAATGAACATTGCATGGTAGACTGCAGACATATCAAAGTGTTCTTTGCATGCCTTCAATATGATGTAAAAGATATTTTTGAAACCTTTGTGTCATTCTAGAAAGTTTAATAGGATTCATTCCAACATGTTCAAAACTAATAACTTAATCATATTGACTATGACAGCAGGAGGCTATTATTGCCATTAATTTGTTCTTTTAATAGGTGTCGTATTCGTTGTGATTTAACACAAAGTATAAGACTTTGAGATTTGGCTGTTTCCTGAACTTCAAATCAAGCTTAAGAATGTTTTGCCAACTTTTTTGACATTATTTTTGTTCTTTTTAGTCACGATCAGATGAAAAACTGAAATAGGAAGTCATTCAAAGGTTATGGAAATTAATAAGTAAAAAATGACATGTTTAAGAAACACTATGGTGCATACGTTGTCTTAGCATTAAGACAACTTTGGATGATAAAAACAGTTTGTGAGAAGGGAAATCTGGGAAGCAAAAATAGAAGTCTGTAAACTGAACTGAATAGTTGTTAAAATTTATTACAGTAACCTTATTCCCACCCACATTACATTAATTTTATATTCACATGAGACAAATGTTGATCTGAACGTTCGCTACTGCATCAAGGCATGGCAAAAGACCCCTAACCTGGAGCTTGTGGAATGACCTATTGGGTAGAATAATATAGTAATAATTACAAGTTGTCTGCATGATGGGTGAGCAATGTTTACTGAGATAAAGTAAATATTAGTGAAAAGGAGGGTGGGAATCCTATACAAGCAAGTAACCTTAAGTAACAGCTTGACAGAAGGCCAAGTGATTTTTTTGAAATTATTTTCAGTTCACCCTGTATATTGATACATTTTTGTAGTACTCCTTTCATGGCCACTTACACTGTATTTATTATCTGCCTTCATTCCTTTTTCGGTTGTGATAGACCATGTTAGAGTTGTGGTTGTATTTTCAACATATTTAAACTTCATTAAAATGTTTCAGGCTTGCAGAGAATGTGGCATGTTGTCCCATATAGTGCCTGCTTTAAAATCTTCCAGACACAAATCTAATTTATAAATGCAATACCACTTAAATATCACTCTGAATATTGTGCTATACAGTTGCTGGGTTCATTGAGGAAACCACACGAGTTTACATAAAATTATACTAAATTTACAGTACTTGTACAATGTATTCCTTGCTACAGAAAGTAGCAAATGCAAAATTCTTGTGTCTCTTAGGAGGAGAGGAAGTTTGTAGTCGTAAACCTCTGTTTAACCCCCAGAAGTTGCTGAAGTCATATTTGACAATATATTTAAATTTCATTTTGTATGATGCTGAAAAGAAAATAATTTCAAATGAACATTATTTTATTGTTGAAGAGAATTCAGAGACTCAAAGGTCAGACCCATCTTTTAACACTCTATCTGCACTCACTTTGGTAGTGAAAGTGTTAACCCTGGATTGGCCTAGTAGCCTGTTCATATGGAGGATATTTTAGTAAAGAGCCTAAGACAAGAAAAAAGTACAGGAGCTTGGCATCCATAAATGCACATACTCCTGTGCATGCATTTGAAATATCTTTTTTATGCTTTGCCACATAATTTCAGGGTGCAAAGAAAATCATTTTTACAGCTTGCCATTCGGGCAAGCTGAAGCTAGCATTTACTAGCCCAGACGTGATTTGAACTAGCCCCAAAAGCTTTTTGACGAGTAGAATTGACTTCACAGTTCTTCTGTTATTTGAATTCTTCAAAAAACATCACTTGCCCGTCGGGCAAGTTAAAAACAGAATTCACTAGCCCGATAGCAAAATCCTCTAGCCCTGGGCTATCGGACGTTACTTTCTTTACACGCTGTAATTTTGAGAACCATTTCCTTATTAAACCTTAAAAGTTCATTCATTTGGGAAAATAGAAACATTATTCTGTTATTCTTGTGAATCACTTTCACAGCTGGGCTTCTATTGTGGTTTGCTTTTGGCCTTTTTGCTTGCACCGTTAAAACTTTCACAGCTCCAGGGGTTAGTCTGGCAGACTGGGTTGAAAAGACTAATGCTTTGGTGATCTGTATGGCTCATCTTATATAACAAGTTGCATGAATAATATAATAATAAGTTATTAGTTGCGTGAATGTAAATATATACTAATTTAAAAAAAAGTAATGAGGTGAAAGCACTATATAAAAAGCAGACTGCTTTATCTTGCACAAGAGGATAGACCCTGAGTCTAGACTATTTTTCTTGAGTTTGTTTTATTTCTTCTGTTTAGAAAAAAGCCCGAGGACAAGAACTTCTGGATCTTGTGTTCAAGAATCTTGACTTGGTTGAGAAGGACTACTTTGGACTTCAATTCATGGACACACATCAAGTTTCGGTATAATTAAAATTATCTTCCTTCTGCGTATTTTCGATAATGTGTTATTTTTGTTATGCTGCATTTTACATAGTCATGTACATGGTATATGGTGTGCATGTGGCAAGTTAAATGGATTTCAAGTCAAAATGGTTATTTCCTGATTTACTGATTTATGTAGACATATGGGATGTTTTTGACATGTCAGTAACAGAAGTTGGAAGATTAGCACTTGATAGAGATTGTTTCCGCTGCGGGGTCAAAGAAGCGACATCCAACAGGATGAGCGGTCAGACTATACATCCATAATGATGAGACAAAGAAATTAAAAATCAAGCTATCAGGAAATCCTCTCTATCTAAAGTTCATTGAGCTAAATAAATAGTACAAATATAATGTAACATTTTGTGTTCTGGTCTCTCCAACAGCACTGGCTGAATCCTTTGAAAAAAATCAAAAAGCAAGTCAGAAGTAAGAAAATACACTCTAAAGATGACAGTTTGAATCTGTTGCTCATTTTTCTGAAGCTATTATTTTCACTTGGGGTGAGGTCAAGGTTAATTAGAACCTAAAGGGATTGTGGTAAAGCAAAGCAGACCAAGCTGTAAGGGTTCTAGAATCTGCTTATAACTAAAAATCTGAGTTACCAAAAACTGTTAATATCTTATTGTCAGAGTTCTTACAGAGTCTTGAATTNAACAGAAGTTGGAAGATTAGCACTTGATAGAGATTGTTTCCGCTGCGGGGTCAAAGAAGCGACATCCAACAGGATGAGCGGTCAGACTATACATCCATAATGATGAGACAAAGAAATTAAAAATCAAGCTATCAGGAAATCCTCTCTATCTAAAGTTCATTGAGCTAAATAAATAGTACAAATATAATGTAACATTTTGTGTTCTGGTCTCTCCAACAGCACTGGCTGAATCCTTTGAAAAAAATCAAAAAGCAAGT